ATCCCCCCCCCCGCCCCCCCTCCAGCCTCTTGGTCTTGGCACCTGCTGTTCCCACTCCCTGGCACACTCTTCCCCCTACATCGTTGCATGTTTTGGCTTTTGCTGGATTCCTGATGCATTGGCTATCTATCTTCTTCGGTGAGGCCTTCTCTGACTTCAGAAGTTTACCGGTTCCCTTCTTTCACTATCTCCACTCTTCCCAGCATTTATCCGTGAGTTTATGGATGTGTCTGCTTCGGTATTTATTGCCTACCCACGTCCCCTCTCCCTCTGTAAGCTGCTTTTAAGTCACTCTCTATTTCAGTCTACAGATAGGAAAAACTGAGCCTCAGAGAAAAGTAACCTGCCCAAGAGGGCCGCGCCAGTGCGCAGCTGGGGAGAGATTTGAAGTCCCTGGAGGGGGATCTGTTTGCAGCCAGCTGGCGAAGTGGGACAAAGCGGCTTCTGCGATTACCTTTCTCCTGATGCTGCTGCCGCAGCTGCTCCCAAGTGTCGCCTTCGTCCTGCTCGCCGAAATAATGGTACTCGGGGGAGAACTGGGCACGGGTCGCCAGCAGCAGGAACATCAGAGGCGGCAGCAGTAACTCCGCCGGGCTCCCGGCCATGCCGGACTCCAACCGACCCGGGCGCGCTCCAAGGAGGAGCTCCTCGCGGGCTGTTTAGTGCCCGCACTACCCCCGCCGGCGGTGGCAGTGGTCGGGGCCGGAGGCTCTGAGACGCGTCCCGCTGCCTGCAGGCGCGTGGACCCGGCCGTCTTCTCTCCCCCTCCCCTGCGGTTGCAGTGGACCCGACCGCTCCACTCGTCCGCCCACCACTCCCCCGCCCTGTGCGTCATGGTTCGGGCCGCGCATAAAAGGTACAGAGGCCGAGTGCACTAGGTACTGAGAACGCGTGTTCGCGCGTCTGCGGTCCGTGCGTCCCGCTCGTACCCACGCAGGTATGGACCCCTGGAGGGCACCGGGCTCTGGGGAGACCCCTTGGAGCAGCTCCGGCCGGGCCCAGGCCTCAGCGCTGCCGCCTTTGTTTTCCGCCCGCCGTAGTGCGTGCCTTTGTCCTTGCAGGGGAAACCGAGGCCTTGGCCTTGCAGTACAGGCCGCGTCGCCGAGCTCCCCGCCACCTTCTCGCGGGTCTCCTCCTGGAGCGGTGGGCTTGCGCTAGGGCGCTCAGGCCGACACGCTAATGGAGGGGGCCCGGCGGCGGCTGCCCGGCCGCTAGTGCTGGTCAGGGGGGCGGGTCTCCCGCAGTCTCCAGGCCGCGCAGACCCGGCACCGGGGAGGGTGTGGGGGCAGTGCTGCGGCCTCTGCCTCTCGGACTCAGTAACTGGGCCCAGCGCGCAGCGTGACCTTGGGAAGGGAGGACAAAGGGTCTCCCCGGGCGCACTGACCGGACTGGGGGGGGGGGGG